GAAGGGATAATGGCAGCTGCTTCGTCTGCTATTTAAAGACAGGGACAGCAGAGCTATCTTTTCAGGATATCAAATTTTTGTTCATCCTGAAAGTGTCTTTCATGGCAATAAATTAGCAAATTATTCCTACATAACCAATGAAACTAACTAAAATGGTTTAGTTAGACCACTGGCACTAGTTAGAGAGAAATAAACTTGGCAGCCTAAGTAAAACTAGTAGTTTAGAATCACTGTCAACAGAGTAGAGGAAAATGTGAGCCTATTTGAAGGGCTTTTATTGGCAGAATCATGGGTGGAGGATGGGAAAGCTAAAAATGTGCACAGAAGCCCCAACAAGGGACATCGAGAGTGACTTTTAGTGGTGTACTATAAATATTTAACGATGTGCACTATGGGGAAAATCATTGACTTGTAGTGTTTGCCAATTTCCATCGTGAAAATACTCCCTCTGTGGTCAATTTCAAGCTACCAACGTATGTCACTGAGCAAGAATTGGGAAGAGCTGCATTCAGTTGACACTCACGAGCTGATATGAGCCAGCTCTAGCATATTATGTTTTTACTTGAATTTCAAATGTTTTTTCACTTTTTAAAAATAAGTGTAAAAAGTCTAAATGTGTCTTTGAAATGTTTGATTGCAAAAACTATTCTTCATATATCACAGTTATTTACTCAGAATTAAATTTACTTTATTTTCAAGGCCACTCTGTGGTTAAGCAGATAAGGTCTGATTATAGAGTGCAAGAGTTCAAAACCTGGCTTTTGTAATTTCTAACTCTGTGACTGCGGGCACATAATTTAAAGTATCTGTGCACCAGTTCCCTCATCTTCAAGGTAAATATGATGACAAGGTTGTCATGTAGATTAAATCATCGATACAGGAAATGCACTTAGAATAGTGCCTGGTACATTGTGAATCCTCAGTTAAGGTTAACTGTAGTTTTCACACACTTACCACTGGCTTAATGATGGTTGAGGGATGAGGTAATATAGGAAAGGCACTATTAAAAGGAATATTGATGCAAGAGAAATTGGACCGGGAAGGGAAAGTGAAATACTTTCAGAATCACAGATGTCTATCAACCTAAAAATGTTTAGGTAGGACTTATAGTTAAAGTGGAGAAATGTTATTGTATACTGTTTTTTCCCACTCTGGTACATAAATTTGGCACAGTTTGTCATTTCATGTCCTATTTTAGGGCTCTAATGGTGTTAAATATATCTGTTCTAGATTGCCATCTGTTACATATCCTTACATATACTCCTTATGTATTTCAAGTAGAAACTTAAAAAAGATGTCATAAGACATCATGTTAATATATCTTTAAAACTTTTATGATTTAATTTTTCCATATTTTTTCTCAGTGAAGAATTAGTCACTACTTTTGCCCCTCCATTTTGATCATGAACTAATGCAGCAGATGAGTTATTCTACTGTCAAAAGGTCCCCTACACATGCCAGCCACTGCTCTAAGATGATGCATTCACTTTGGACCATGAACACATTCTGAGAGCTTCGATTTACAATACAGTATGTTAAGTAGTGTAGCTGATTCAAAGATAAGTAAGAAGCCCCATTACTGTACTCTTCACTGGCTTAGAATCAAGTAAGGAAGACAGACATTTATACAAATAATAAGAGGAAGTAAACACTAGGAGGGGAGGAGGAAAATGATAAACACAGCTTGTCTGGGAAAATAGCCATCTACTAAAATTCCAAAGTGGAAGTTGTGTTTCCTTTAAATCTTGCCATAGGCTTGATTGATAAGAATAACTCCTCTGAAATCTAGGATGGGGGTGAGCTTAGCCAGAGCCCGTATTATTTTAAAATAAGCCCTCAGTGATATGACCAATGACATGCATGTTAGCAATCCTTACAGATGGTAAACAAGATCAGTACTGCACCACACCCAGGCTGTCTTCTCTCTGGAACTCACATCCTCTCCTAAAGTTTCTGATTACCTTGCAGACTCCTTAGCAAGTTTCTCTTCTATCCATCCTTCAAATGTTCATTCATACAAGGCAAGGCATGCAGTAGGTGCTCCAAAATATCTGTGTGATGAATGCATTGAGAATAAATCATTTTAAATTTTTAAAATTTATTTTAATTGAAAAATAATAATTTTGTGTATTTATGAGGTACAATGTAATGTTTGATCTATTTATATATTACCAAAAGATTTAATCAAGCTAATTAACATATCCATCATCTCATCAACTTATTTTTTTATGAGGACATTAAAAACATATTCTTTTGGCAATTTTGAAATATACAATGCATTTTTATTAACCTTGGTCACCTGCTAACGTACTAATTAGTAATTTCTTTGGAAAGACTCACATTGAATGGTGACCTTGAGCCATGAGGAGTTAAAAGAGTAAAGTAACAGCTAACTTGATGCTCTCTCCAGGTTATAATCACAAGTAAAAGGCAATTCAAAGCTTTGAGAAGTTTGACTGCCTATAACACAAGCTTTTGAATTGATTTTGGAAACCGCATATCCTAAGGGTATTTAGGATTAGGAGATTCTCCACATGAGTTTGCTCTGTATTGGGAAAAACTAAATTATTTGACTGCAGGGATTTTAGACTGCAGGTCCCAGAGAACTGAAGTTTTAATACTTTAAAGTCAGAATCCATGTGGGGAGAAGATAGAGGGAAGGTGTCCTAATCTTCTACCTGGAAGGACAAGGTATAGGTGTGCTAGTGTACATAGAGAGGCTGGTATGTAGAAGACCCTAACAGACATTAATTTCTTTCTTCTGTGGACCAGTAAGGAAAACCTAAAATAGTTATTAAAAGTACGTTCTCAATAGGATAAAATATTTAAGGCTAGTTATTGTTGACATTCTCTCATGTGATTTTACAACTTAAAGTTTCATTGTTAAAATGATTACTCAGTTTTTTTCATTGTTTTCTAATTCACATTTAAACAAATAGTGAAAAAAACCTTTGTGGAAAAATAAGAATAAAAATGTTGAACTTTCAGAACAAACTCCAAATGGTTCATTGACTTTTTTTCACCATGGAAAAATCACTTAACCTCCCAGTGTCAGTTTACCCATCTGTGAAATGAGAAGGATAATATTTTCTTATGGGGATGTTTTGGAAATTATTTTGCAAATGTAGTAGATGAAATTGTTGCAAGCATCACTGCTCTTTTTCCACTTCTTTAAAGAAGCTAACGGTATTATTTATGTACCGGTTGATAATCAAAATGTCCTATGGGTTGCATGTATATTTTTATTAGCAGTTATATGCTTTTTATTACTTGAAGAATTACTTCCAGATTGCTCAATCTATGCATTATGTCAATACCAGGGAACCTGAGAAAAGTGTCTTAAAACCATTTTGAACTACATATTTATGAGCTGCTAATCTCTAGTAATTATTCCTTCTTTTAGATCATGTTTTCTCTGATGTGGTTTTTCGCCTCACCTCACTTCACAAGATTGATAGTTTTCCATGTCACCCTGCTAGAGGTCACCTCTGAGCTGAAGGCAAAACACATCCCACTCTGGCTCCTGTTGACTTTCAAGTCAACTATCAAAGAATTTATTCCAGACATCTCCTAACCTCAATTTAAAAACTCCACCCCAAAGATTACAGGGAGATACCCTGGAGAGTTGCCATCGTGACTCTAAGAGGTTGGCATCGAGGAGACAAAGCTACTGATATCAGATTTTTTACTTGATAGGACTAATTATATAAGGTGGTCATGAACCTCTGTGCTTGTGTCATTTAGGTCTGGAAAGAAATTTTCCCCTTCAGGCTTTTCTGTCTCTTATGGTGCCAATCAACGGGCTTCTTGGTAACAAGATTCTTATGCCAATAGTTCCAGCATAACCTTAAGTGGTGCTTGTAGTAATGATAGAATCATTACAAAACTAAAGAAGAAAGGGGAAATATATTTCCTGGGTGTGACTAAGTCATTATAATGTTCTTGCATATGTAAATTACCCTTGATTTAGTGAACTACCTTGCTTACCTACTAGTATTTTAACCTAGCTCTGGAAAGTCATTTTACCCGTGTTGATCATTTTTATCAGACTTGGAAGAGCTTATCTCTAGATCACCTTACTGAAGTGAAATTTATGTATTATGTTTCCATGTGCATGGATTTTGTTTTAATGATTGGAAGTGCACTTATTAAGTAAATTTATTACATGAATTACTTCAATAAATTAATATGACACTTAGGAAAATAAAAAAACTTGATTATGCATTGATGATATCCAAATTAACAGGGTCATTTTAAAAATACACATTTTTCTGATTATAAAGGAAATATATATTCACTAGAGAAAATCTGGAAACTACAGAAAGGAACAAAGAAGATATCATTTATATCTCCTGGTTTAAAGTAATCATTTTAAGATTTTGATGAATATTCTACAAGATCAACACTTTTTAAAGAATACTCTCAGTGTTTTCTCCAACACATTTTGTATTTCTAAAAACACCTACATCTATAAGAAATCCAGGTGAAATAGGATTCTTTTTTTATTTCCTTTATCAGAAATTGAATTTAAAGTTTTAGTATCCATATTTCATAAACTTTATTCAGGATTATAAAAGCTCCCAGGAAGTATTTTATGTTTCCTCTACTGCTTTAGAGAGTTCAATTCATCCAAAATTATTCTAGTGCTTTATCTTCAACAATGACCAAATGTAGCATCATATAATTAATGCAAGCGAAGAGATATTAATGATTATCATATTACTATTTGAATATAAATCTTTATGTGTGCCTAGGAGAAAAAGAAGCTTTTCTAGAAGATGTAAGGGAGTATAAAGGAGTGCTAATTTCATGTCAATATTGTTATTTTCTGATTAAGGATTTTCAATTATTTTTCTCTTTCATAATATATGGTTTTGTTGTTGACATTTGGTTGATTTAAATTTTATTTTGAGTGAGAAGTTAAGTCCAATGTAGATTTTTGGGAAGTTAATCATTTTACGACTTTCATTTAAAGAACATTTTCTTTAATCCCCTTTTAGGCAGCCAAGGGCAGTTTCCACTAACACAGAATGTAACGGTTGTTGAAGGCGGAACTGCAATTTTGACCTGCAGGGTTGATCAAAATGATAACACCTCCCTCCAGTGGTCAAATCCAGCTCAACAGACTCTGTACTTTGATGACAAGAAAGGTGAATACATTTTCTTTTGAATGTTTTAATCATATTCTGAAATATTCTAATTATAATAAATTTATTTTTCTGAGATGATTCAAATTATTCCTTTTGATTACCAAACTGCTGCTGCTTGTATTTAAACATGTTAAATATTAAATACTTTAGTTTGCAAGTCATAAACACTAAAGATAACCTATGTCAACTTTTTAATAAAATAAACAGTTCTAATTCTGTTTCAAAAATAGTTTTATGCCTTCTCTTAATAATCTTCTCTCTAGATAGCATATTCTTTCATTCTTGTAGCTGCCTTGTGTATAGATTGAATTTGTTTTTTCACTCCTGTTACTAATATAATGTTATTTTTATTAACTTTAGTT